TAATAAATGAAATTCAATCCGTACTGTAGTACCAAATTCTATTAAATTTTGTAATAAATGAAATTCAATCCGTACTATAGTACCAAATTCAATTAGAGATTTGTTTGAGCTAATTACGGAATTTACCAATTATTCACATAATCAAATATGTTATGAACATATATTTGGTATATAATAATACCAAATTCAATCCGTGTGTGGAGTGTATATTTTCATTTTACAATCTCTATGAAAATATTGCAGCACAATCTATTATTTATTATTTTTAAAATTGCCTGCAGAATCAAATTTTTAAATATTTAGAAGTGTCAAACCTTATTTAACTCATCTCATCATAAATCTTAAAATCCCGTCTATTATAAGGATCATAACTTTCTACCATATAATACATTACATTTAATCTGCCGCCTACTATAAATATTTTAAACATATCTTTTTAGAAAATCAAATTAATTATTTATAATTTATGTTTATCTTTTTAATCTATTAAATATTTATGATATTCTTTAATATATTAAATTAAAATTTTTTAAAATATTCCAAATTAAAATCTTTAAATTTTTTTACTGTAGTATGTAAAATTATGAATTAAAAAAAAATGATATGAAATTAAATATAAATATTCAAATAGTTATAAGGATCATAACTCATTTCAGCATATAATATATTATATTCAACCCGCCGTCTTTTATAAGTATTTATTTCAAAAAATCAAATTAGAGTATTTATACGTCATAAATTTTTGATCTATTAAGTATTGATCATATTAAAAAAAAAAAGAAATATATTACTCAAATATGAATTTTTGACCCGTTAATTTTGTTCTTTCATACATTGAATAATTTATATTCCTTTTTAAAAATTCAAATTTTGGTATATGCGGAAAAAAATTTACTTTTTTTTTATTATATAGATTATATACTGATTTATTTATTTATAGAAATAGAATCATATAAAGATGAGATGTGGAGTATAATGATTAATAACAACTTAATATGGTAAGTTAGATATCAAATCTTATATGTTCATTTTGATTGGTCATTCTTTTTAAAGAAATTAATAATAGATTTTCGTTTTTATAATTAAATTAAATTAATTAAATTGTATAAAATAGTATTTGACTTTTTTATCCTTAATGAGTTGAATTAATTTACTATATAAAATTTTATTACTAGTGGCATTCTTAAGTAATTATTTACAAAAGAAAAGGTTAGTTAAGGGTATCTTATAAAGTGTACTCCCCAAATAATAGTATAGGATCGTCGTTATGTCTTATCCAATATTCATCAGTTCGTCACATGTCTATATACAATGACGTAAAGAGTACCCAAAATTCACATCTCTTTTTGGATTATATGGGTTAATTACGGGCCAGGCCAACTTTTAAGTTTTTCTTTCAAGTTTTGACAAAGTGGGGATTAGCTTTCACTATTTGACAATTATGTCAATTTCTGACGAAAATGCCCTTGTAGCCGAACCGGTGTACAGTGACAGCGAACGAAATCGTCAGGCGAGTTGGTTACGTACACAGTATCTCGTTAGCTACAGTTGATTAGTTTTTTAATATTTCCGTCGGATGTACAGTGTACACCGAAAGAATAAAACAAATAAAATATGTTGTCACAAATGTTTTAAATGCTGAAAAAGTTGAGACATGACTCATTCCAACTGTAATCAATGCAAACTCATCATTACATCTTATTTTAATCCTCTTAAATCATAATAACGTACACTGTTTAGATTTTGTAAAGAGAAATAAGAAAAATGATAAACTTCCCCTCAATATCTATGAAGGAATGAGATAGACGCCATTTTGATCTTGTTGTTTAACAAAGTTTCCGGCGAGAAAGCAGTGACCGTGGTAAGTAATGAAGTTGTAAATAAAAAATTTAGTTATTACATACACTTTCAATGAAAACAAAATTGATTTGGATACAAAACTTCAGGAAATTGATTTATTCCTCTCTTGATTCTATATTTGTTCTGTAGTAAATATTAAATGAGGAGATTCAATGTGCATTAAGTGTGTAGTTGCAAAGTCTTTTTTTAGTTGGAGGTATAAAAGTTGTTCTCAGTTGCATTTAATGGGGTTCTCCTGAATTTATGATGCAGGATGTTAATGGAGATTCCTGTATTTATTATGGTTGGTGATTGGATAGTAACAGAAGAAAAATGGAAATTTGAACCTGAGAAAGGAAGCTATGGTCGGTGTGTACGTGTTAGGGAAAACATGACGTACACGGATTTGGCACGTACATTATGTGAGGTTTTCAATTTGAAGTACAAAGAATGGCAGCCAATAATTAGTTACTGGATGCCGGGAAATATGTCAATTATGATAGAATGTACACGCCCTCCTGTCTACATTGACAATCAAATGAGCTTGGATACATTCTTCCTGATTCGTGTTGGAGATCCAAGTGTCAACTTGTTTGTGTCTTTCAGTAGAACTGTAGATGCCACTAATGCAGATGTAGATGAGCAAACTGACGTACAGGATGAAAAAACAAATGAAGATGCAGAGGATGAGGAGAACGAAGAGGTGGCTGGGGAAGAATTGAATGACAGCGACTAAAACATTGAAAAAGATGACGATGTCAGTGGTGGCTATAGTGCGGGAAGTACTCTCGACCCTACTATAGACGGTAGTGAAGGTAGTGGTGAAGATTACAATTTCAACAAGTGGAATGATTTGATTGTAGAAGAATATGGAGTTAGCCATGTTGAGGAGGACGTCTGTGACATTCCACCGACCGTGGAACCGGCAGGGGAATTCAGTCGTCTATTGGCAGAGTGTACGACCACAAGTCAACGTGTACGTACAGGAGAAACCAGTGCGAATTTAGGTGACACTCAGCTAACTATGAATTCAACCCCGACGTGTCAACATGGATTGCTCCAATGTACGTACACTAGAGAATGTGTACGAGACACAGGATGCAAAGGTGAATTTGTTACATATACGGATACCGATGTTAATGGTAGAGACGAAGTCAATGGAGAGATTGGTGTGGATTTGGATATCGGAGGTTCAGAAACTGGTGTCTTAAATGAAACTGATCTCCGTATACAACCCTCGGTTGAGTCTTACGAAGTGTATAATGGATTTTCTTTATTACATAGTGGAGAGCCGGAGATTCTTGATAATGATGCTACTCCAGTCTTTGATGATTTAGCCAAAGTTTGATGTGATTCTACTGAAGTTGAAATTAGTACGACTGGTGAGACATTGTATGTGGGTAGTGTGTTTATGAACATGCAAGTCATACAACAAACTATGGCTTATCTTGCACTCAAAGTTTACTTTTGCTATAAGCAAACTCGGTCTGATCCTAGAAGATTGGAGATGGCTTGTGTGGATGATAATTGTCGGTGGCATTTGTCTGCAAAGGTTGTCAAGAATTCAGAATGTTTCAAAATCATAAGTACATCCATTGAAGACTATGTACGTAAACATGTAATACTGTGTACGTGAGAAACGAGGTAGTGATCATGACAGAGAGAATGGTGTTATTACCACCATGTGTAGGGTCTTGCCAGGAGATAAGTAAAACTATCACAAACAAGTGAGCTTGGAACATTCTTTTTATTCATAGTAGCGATCTAAGTGTAAATTGTATCGTTTTTTCCAACCCGTTAAAGAAAGTGTGAATAGTGTGTGCGTGATGGATAACCTTACTGATGAAACTAACCATGGGTCGGAGGTGAAAACAATGAAGAAGTAGATGAGGAAGAAAAAATAGAGGGCAATAAAGAGGATGAAAAGAAAGAAGATGAGGATGACGAAGAGAAGAAAGAGGACGATAAAGATGACGACTATGAACAATAGTAAAGGTAATGACAAAAATTACATTACAACAAGTGGACTGATTTTTTTTGTTGAGAAATATGGGATAGGATATGTCAGGAATGTTGGTTACACTCAACTTACTGTGGGGCTAGCAAAAAAATTCAGTTGATTATTAGAAACATGTACGTATACTAATTAACGTGTACGTGATTTATAAAGCATCATTGGTTTACGTAATTAAAGTTGATTATTCGACACATGTACGTATACTACTTCACATGTACGTAATTAACGTACAATATTAACACGTCCACATAATCAAAGCAACGTACACCGTAAATTGTATATACGTACACAAAAGAAATTCGTTGAAGAGTATAATTGTAATTGTGCAGTCATCTTCCACATGAGTATCTACTTCTGCAACCCTAAATACGCAGCCGTCATTTATCTTTATCTTAGAATCTCATTTTTTTAACGTTTTGAATGTTTTTTACATACAAATCTTGTAAATCTAGTATATTTTAAGTTTGAAAAACTAAAGAGTTTGAGTTTTGTTTCATTGTTCGATGGTTACGTTAAGTCAATTACGTCGGAAGAACAATTCCTTTCTAATCATTCTCTTTCATTTTTTCCGATTCGCTGGAAATCTCTTAATCTATTTAACTTTAATCTCTCTACTTGATAATGAAGCAAAATCAATGGCTCTCCAGAAATTAACCTCTTCGCCGGATAATCAGTAACTTGCTCTTCGCCGGATATTAGACTTGAATGAGATGTCTCAAATCAAGTTGCAGAACAATTGAAACCGAGATTTCGAAAAACGAAGATGGATGAATGAATTTCGAACAGAAATTTGACTTCTCTCTCGAATCTCTCTGTCTCTCTCTCGTTCTTCTTCTTTGTATTTTTTTTATAATTAATTTAAAACCAAACATCAAACCAAACGAAAAGAAACTAAACCAAGAGCTACTGTGCTGTTTGATTTCTTTCATTAGGGGTATTTTGATCAGAATTGCTTAATTGTCAAATCCTGAGAACTGAATCTCAGTTTGTCAAAACGTGAGACAAATATTCAAAACTGTCCTTTTTGTGAAAATTTTTTTTTAAAAAAACATCTATTTGACAAAAAAAAAAAAAAAAAAAAAAACATCTCATCCACATCGATGACTTCACCTAATAACCCTTTCTCTATAAAGAGTTAGAAAACATCTTCAAATTTTGTATCCGTTTCACATTCACAGTCAAACTCGGTTGCCGAAGAAATTTCCCGGCAAAAACCTCAACAAACAAAAATAGTAGAATGACTCTTTTACCCTTACCCTTCCTCTTCTTCTTCCTCAACTCAATACCCTTATCCGTCTTTTCACAGTCCAACGACCAGTCAACGCTCCTGAACCTAAAACGCGATCTCGGAGATCCACCGTCTCTCCGGCTATGGAACGACACATCTTCACCGTGCAATTGGTCGGAGATCATTTGCACCGCCGGAAATATCACTGGGATCAATTTCAAGAACAAGAACTTCACCGGGACAGTTCCGACGACGATATGCGATTTGTCGAATCTCAATTTCCTCGATTTATCGTTTAATAACTTCGCCGGCGAGTTTACGACGGTTCTTTACAAGTGCACGAAGCTTCAATATCTCGATCTCTCTCTGAACGTTTTCAACGGCTCACTTCCCGTCGACATCGACCGTCTCTCACCGGAACTTGACTATCTCGACTTAGCAGCTAACGACTTCGCCGGAGATATCCCTAAGAATATCGGACATATCTCGAAACTCAAGGTATTGAATCTGTACCAGAGCGAATACGACGGAACGTTTCCGTCGGAGATCGGAGACTTGGTCGAGCTTGAAGAACTTCGATTAGCGGTAAACGATAAGTTTACGCCGGCGAAGATTCCGACGGAGTTTCGGAAATTGAAGAAACTCAAGTACATGTGGTTATCGGAGATGAATTTGATCGGAGAAATCTCAGCCGTTGTTTTCGAGAACATGACGGGTCTTAAACACGTTGACTTATCGGGCAACAATTTAACGGGTCGGATCCCAGATGTTTTATTCGGGTTGAAGAATCTCACTAATCTTTATCTCTACGCTAATGACTTAACCGGAGAAATCCCCAAATCAATTTCGGCGACGAATATGGTAAATCTTGATCTCTCTGGTAATAATTTAACCGGTACGATTCCGGTATCAATCGGAAATCTAACGAAATTAGATATTTTGAATCTTTCCAACAATACTTTCACCGGTTTCAAAAGATTAACGAAATTTGCCTTGCAACCATCTATGCGTTACTTGTTAGGCTCCAACAACAATTTCACTGGAAAGATTCCATCTTTCATATGTGCGTTGCGCTCTCTAATCGTTCTCGATTTATCTACCAACAAATTCAATGGTTCAATCCCTCGTTGCATAGGAAATTTCAGTTCTCTTAAAGTTCTAAATCTTAGAAAGAATCATCTTAGTGGAAATGTTCCAGAGAATATATCTGCAAGTGTAAAGTCGTTTGACATCGGTCATAACCAACTGGTGGGAAAGCTTCCAAGATCTTTGGTCCGTATTTCTTCTCTTGAAGTTCTCAATGTGGAAGGCAACAAAATCAATGACACGTTTCCTTTTTGGTTGGGTTCTCTGCAAGAACTACAAGTTCTTGTCCTTCGCTCCAATGCATTCCATGGTTCGATACATGATCAAACCGGGTTTTCTAAGTTACGAATCATCGACATATCCGGTAATCACTTCAATGGAACTTTGCCATTAGATTTTTTTGTCAATTGGAATGCAATGTTCTCACTTGGAAAAACTGAAGATCAGTACATGGGTACAAACTACATGGGTACAAACTATTACAGCGATTCAATAGTTGTGATGAATAAAGGCATAGAAATGGAGATGGTACGTATCCTAACAATATTTACATCAATTGACTTTTCTGGAAACAAATTTGAAGGAGAGATTCCAAGGTCCATTGGTCTACTAAAAGAGCTTCATGTGCTCAACTTGTCAAACAATGGTTTCACTGGCCACATCCCATCATCAATGGGAAACCTGATAGAGCTCGAATCACTGGATGTTTCTCAAAACAAGCTTTCAGGAGTAATTCCACAAGAGCTAGGGAAACTCTCATACCTTGCGTACATGAAATTCTCCCAAAACCAGTTTGTAGGTCTAGTACCAGGGGGCACTCAGTTTCAAACACAGCCTTGCTCTTCTTTCGCGGACAATCCCGGACTCTTTGGCCTTTCACTTGAAAACGTTTGTGTAGATATCCACAAGGAAACATCGCAACAATCCGAAATGGCAGAGCCCGAAGAAGATGAAGAAGAGGTGATAAATTGGACAGCAGCTGCAATTGGATCCATACCTGGTATTTCTTTTGGATTGACGATGGGATACATATTGGTTTCTTACAAACCAGAGTGGTTCATGAACCTTGGCCGAAACAAACGCAGAAGCACAAGCACCACAGCTCATTAGAGTTAGAGAGGTAATGTTCTGAATTTATAACCTATATCCAATAATAATATAGTCTGAATTTATGAAGACTGTATATTAATATAGTCTAATAATAATATGTCCCTGCAGGAAGCGAGGTAAATTCTCGTGTTCACTAAAGCCCTCACTAGGAGTGAGCAATTGTCTCTTGTGCCTTTCTATTCTGTTTATAATGTTATATGGAAATACATTCACAATCAGCACAAGTTTCTAAATCCCCTTTGGAAATGAGACGGACGCCAAGGGGAGGGAATTCATGTTGTCCCGTATTATATACTATCTTACTCCTATTCAGTAGTCCATCCCTGCGATATCCGATCCTGACCTGTATACCTATGACTCCCAAGTCATTTCGCATTTGAAGTTTATTTACAAAGTCTAGTTCAAAATCTTGATGTGTGGATAGCAATAAACATCTATGGATGCAACATGGATAAGAAGCGTTGGGAGAGACCAGAGGACTGGTGGCCAGAGCGGTTTCTTGATAATAGCAAATACGAATCGTCAGATCTTCACAAGACAATGGCGTTTGGAGCGGGAAAGAGGGTTTGTGCTGGTGCACTTCAAGCATCTCTCATGGCAGGCATTGCCATTGGAAGGTTAGTTCAAGAATTTGAATGGAAGCTTAGAGACGGCGAAGAAGAGAATGTGGATACATATGAAAAATTTATTTTTGAAGAAATTGTTTGACAACAACAAGTAGTTTTTAGAAAACAACATGCATGAAGTGAATTTAACAAATGATTTAAGTCTTAAGATGATGACAAAAAAAAAATTAAGTCTTAAGTAGTTTTTGTAAATAAAGTTTGTTTTAATATAAGTATTTATGGTAGAAATTTAAAAGGTTTCACGGATTTTGTATTTTACCTTTGCTCGTATATTAGTTGTTTTTATTTTATAAGTTTATATATAAATACATTGGTAAATAACTTTTATTTCTTACTTTTACATAAGCAATTTACCTTATAGTCAATTTTTGTATTTTTTATTTTATTTTCTTACAAATGTTAGATTTTTTATATTGTGATATATATATAAATATTTTTTCAGCGACTATTATACTTCAAGAACCTTAGATTATTTCTGTTAAAATCATTTATGGTACACAAGCATAATTTGAATCCTACTAAAAATATTTTAATAGAATTTTTGTTTTAATAAATAATTTTTTTTACCATTAAATCAAAATAATTAATACGCGAAGTTTTTTGTGTGTATTTTTGTTCTTTAAAAACTGAACACTATGAACAAGTTTAACTTTAAAACAATTCTATTTTTGAATTAGATCAGATCAATATTATTATGGGTGGACATTTTAACCGAACCAAACCAAACCTAGCAAACCAAACTCAAACCGATCTAAACCAAACCATAACTTACATTCAAACCATTCGATTATATTTCTTCTCAACTCGAACCGATAATCCAATGTATTTATTTATTTAATTAAATAATAATATTGTAAATACTAATATGTAATCCTTTACCAACATTGCACTTGATTTAGAGCGTTAGATATTTTTTCATTTTTAATTAATAAAATATAAAGTTAGATTGATTTTGTTTAATTATCTCTACCTTTAAGTTTCTTTAAGAGTACACAACTAAAACCAAACCGATCCGAACCGAATATAAATCGACCCGAACACAAACCAAATCATTTCAAGGGGTTTTATAGTTCAAGTTTTGATCATTTTGTTAGAAAAAGTCTTTAAAAGATCATATTTTTTATGATGTAAATATAAATGTTTGTCTTCTTTTAAAGCTTAAAACTTTTGCCAAACCCGATACTTAGTATTTGGATTCTCTATTTCCACGCATTGCGTGGTTTTAGTAAGATATACTCAATTATTTTTATAGTTTTGTAAATTACATTATTTTAAATACTTTTTATTACAATACTATTTGAAAACTATATGATATTCTATTGGTAAAAAAAAGGTTATATAAATATAATAGAAATCTTATAAGTGATAATTGTATATATTTACAGGTCTATTTATAATATACTACATATATTAAAGGTTTTTTTTTTATTAATTTGACTTAGTATCCTATGACCGTTCATTATATATATTTTATTTTAGTACATGAATTCTTATGCATAACATTTTCTTCTATAATTCTAGAAACTCAAGTGTGAAATTTTAAATGTGGTTTATCTTTTCCAAATTTATATCTATTGTATTTAGAAGCAAAAATAAAAGACAACAATTATAAAATAATAGAATAATATATATATATATATAAAAAATAGAATAATAATATATATATATATTATTTTATATATTGGCTTTCTTTTTAGGAATTTAGCTTTCTGAGACTAATTTTGTCACGCAGTTCCGATATTTTCATATTCTATTTTTTTTTTTGGTTGGTTATAATAAACTTTCATTTGTTATAATGTTCATATGCATTAATGTTGCAATTATTGTGCTCTTTTTACCTATTTTTGATATTTTTAAAATAATCTTTTATATTTGTATAATGCATAATCTTTTATATTTGTATAATGCATAATCTTTTATTTTTAAAATAAGTGCATAATGTTTGTATTACTATCAAATGCATTTATACATTTATTTATATAAAATTTAATATTATATTTATGATAAGCTAAAAATTAAAAGTATACATAATTATATTTTAGTTTTGTTTTCAATTATTATACACGATACTATTTAGCTATATTTTGACATTTTGTTTACTATCATTTATAAACTAATCAACTATTATTTTAAGGGAGACTCACAAAAATGTCCCTTTTTTAATATCCCTTTTCAAAAATGCCCCCTTTGGATGTCCATTTTTAAAAATACCCCTTTTATGTACAAAATGACTAAATTACCCTTCTTTTAATAAAAGATATCATAAATATATAAGGAAAATATAACAAAATTAGGTCCACAAAATACAAAATATTTTTTGGCGGGAAAAGTGATCCCCCAATTTTTTCCGCCAAAACACTTGTAAAAATTTGTAAACCTTTAAATACCTGTAAATTTTTCCCGCCAAAAATTTTCCCGCCAAAAATTTTTTTGCGGGAAAGTGATCCGCAATTTTTTGGCGTTAATTTTTGGCGGGAAAATTTTCCCGCCAAATATTTACAAGTTATTT